GGGGGGGGCGGAGCCGCTGTGACAGAACAGACGAGCAGTGAGGGGAGAGAGGTGCCGGCTGTCAGATCTCTCCCTCTCCACCGCTCTGCGACAGCAGATCCCTCCTCCCCTGCCGCCGGTTCCTTCACTTCTTCTCGGATCCCCGCTGGGGAGAGCAGCGGGGATCTAGAGAAGCGGAGGGAGGAGATGGAAATGGCGATCTACCAGTGATCGCTATGCGATCGACTGGTAGATCGCGATTGACCTTGTGGGCACCCCTGTTTTAACTAATTTGGGAGGTTGTAGGCCATCAGGGCAGTGAGCTTGGAGCGATGACTACTTTACAGTAGCCCCCCCTCCAGAAGGAAGGACAGTGTCAGCACCAATTCAGAGATAACTTTAAGATCTACAGCCGAGTGATAACCATGAACAACAATGTATCTTTATTGTGTGAGTACTTGAATACATTTTAAGATTTATCTCCTGAGTTTGGTGTCACTTTAAGCCTTTACTAGGCTTTAGGAAAGGCTGTTTATTTCCTCTGGACCTTGGTCAAGCCAGGAGTATTGTCACAGTGCTTCTACTGGAGGGCTTTTAATGTACTGCTATGCTTCTATTAAAAGAAAACGAGCTGTGTGGACATAGATGTTGTGGAAGCTCCAGTCACGATTCTCTAGCAATGTAATCTGAAGTACAGGAAGTCAAAATCTTGTTCATTTTTGCAGCTGAGACTTTTGGACTTAGGGGGCCACCGTACACAGTAAATGTTGTAGCTTAGAGCAAAACTTTACCCTTGTGTAAATGTAGAGTGTGACAACAGCCAAGTGATTGTTAAGCTGAAATGACCAGTGACCCATTCTTAGAGCTTGTGGCCGAAAATAACTTCTAATTAGAACTGCTGGATCTTAGTGGCTCTTAGTGCTTTGTTACTGCTTGGAAGACAGTCCAGTACTTACCGCTCTCCCCATCTAGTAATTCAGGCTCTTCAGGCAGAGGGGGTGGAGGAATGTTGGGGAACCCGTTTGGGGAAAGACTCCCCCTTGGCTTGTCTTCGTTCCCTTTCTCTCTCTGGGGGTGAAAAGATGATTTTGTGTGGGATGAAGGGGATGGAATGTACACAGAGGAAGATGGAGAATTGAAGGGGGTGGAAGGTGGACAGAAGAAGATGGAGAAGTGAAATGTAGGATGAATGGGGGGAAGTACGCAGAGGAAGATGAAGTGATGTGTAGGACAAAGGGGGTGGATGGTTTGGATGGTTAAGTCTAGACTAAGAGTGGAAGGTACACAGATGAGGATGGAGAAGTCAAGTCTAGGGTGTAGATGGTGGAAGGTACACATGAGGATGGCAATGTCTAAAAAGGGGGGGGGAATTCACAGAGGAGGATGGAGAGGTAGTTGGTTGGTGGGCATCAGAGGTGTTTGATCTAAGTTACTACAGTTGTGTCATCCATAATTGCCTCTAATACTTCTCTATACCGTGTTTAAAAACCCACAGGAAGTAAATGTTCTGGAACATACACAGAGCACACAGGAAATCTAAACACGCTCCAGACTGGGGACATGAAACTCTGATGGATTAATTGTATGTTTGGGCAAAATGAAAGCACATTTTATTATATAGTAAATCTCTGCAATACGAGCCCACTTCCCCATATATTGTCTTTAAAAACAGAAAACTATCTGCTGATTGGCCAGATATGCTCTCGGCTTCTGACTTCCTGTCTGAGCTGACGGTTATGTATTCTATAGTGTAGTAATGGAACACATAACCAGAGGACTATGTGAATAGTCATTGCAGGAGTTTGCTGCCTTGCACTAGGATGGTAGCACTAGGATGGTAGATCAGACCCCTGTCCTGGCTGTGGCTATGCAATACATCTTACAATAGACCAGGGGGTGGACAGAATAATATGGAATTCAGGAGACAATCTGTCCAATCCAAGAGCCAGCAGGACTTTATTTTAGGAGCCAACGCTATTGGCAAGAACTATATTAACCCCTTCGTGATGGGAGATGTACACTGTACGTCCTGCCACAAAGGGACCAAATGACTCGTCACGTACACTGTAGGTGACGAGTTATTTGCTGCATTAGAGGGCTGGTAGCGGCTGAGAATCAGCGGTTACCATTCATTAATGGATGCCAGTACAGAGGCATTCATTAATGAAAGGGTTAACCTTTTTCAGACACCTTAATATCGGGTGTCTGAGTCAAAGCAGAGGGGGCAAACGATCTAGAGATAGCTCTCTCGGATCGTATACTGGCTTTTTTTTTCTCCTTTCACTTTCAGGAACAGATACATAATGTCTCTATTCCTGAAAGAAGAATGTTTCCGTTTTCTGAGCGTTGTTGGAAAGTTCAGAAAACCTTTAGTGACAGCTGAATCCTGAACTGCTGCAGGATCAGTGTCACTAAATTATTTAAAAAGTGTAATAATAAAATAAAGGTGTAGAAAAAAAATAAAGGACAAATAAATGAATATTTATAGCATTTTTTTTTTTTTTTTGCTGTGCTGGTTTTGTAACAAATACTACAAATCAAAACTGGGAAAAAAAGTGGGGTTTTTTTCTTCCTTTTTTTTATATTTTATTTGTCCTAAGTGAGGTGTTAGACATACATATGCATGTCTATCTGTCCTCTGCACCCACACATTATATATTGTTTTTTACTTTCTTCCACAGCAGTAATATACGTTGACAATCAGTCATTTACGAACAGAAACTAAAAACAAGCTCAGTCATGAAGGGGTTAAACCTTTAAAAATTCAGCACCAGCTGTCACTTTTAAGGAGCATTGGCGATCTGGTTCCTAAGATTTGTCCAAAGTGTATGCTCGAGTTCCTCTGTGCTGATTCTAACCCGGCATGACTAAAGGACCAATGTGGTGCAGAACCTTTTACTCCTGACCCTTGTATATGAATATGGTTCTTCTATGGCCTGCGTCAGCCTTACACTGCATTGGAGAGAATTACGTAATTATGACTGAGATGCTAATTTCCCTTCTGGCACTGATGACTGGAGAAATGGGAAAGCCTAGAAATAATAATGTGCAGGAAAGAAGGCAATAGGATGAGGGAGGAATATGGGAATTGATGGCATTGAATAGGCAGAGCGAGAGATTGGTGCTTCCAGAGAAGTCATGGCTTTTTATATGGATTGATTTCTGCTTCCAGACTTGGAGCTTATTTACTAAGGTCATACAGTGCCAAATTGGACCTTTTAGGACCTGTAAGTAGGCTGCCATGATGAGGAAGCCCAATTATATCTAGACTGCACAGGACCTGTGCCGGTGCTGATCTTCCTTTTAATATAGTATGGTACATGTAAAAGGCCATGATTTCCCGCCAGCATTGCAGAAGGAAGGAAACAAAAAGGAGAAGTTGGTGAGAGAGAGAAAGGCAACATTTCTGTGATGCGGGCTGAGCGCAAGGAACGGTTTTGTAGAAGTGGGAAAAGGTGTGCGGACTGTAGAGTAGAAACCAAACAATAGTTCTGCATAGGAGGGGAAAGAGTGACTGCAGAGAGACTAGAGACCTCATTGCTGGGCCTCCAGAGCAAAGCACTACCCTTGCTGGGGGACACACACGGAGTGCACTCAGCAGAGATCAGCATTGGTGGGTAGGAGTAGAACAGAGATAGTTTTGGTTCTGCAGAAGTAGCATGAAGTAGAGAGCCAGGTTCTGCTCCACACAGCTAGAGAGAGAAGTGCTTACAAGCTGTTATTAGAAATATCACACACATTTCATAGACTGGTTAGTCATACAGTGGCAGGATGCTACCATGAGATGTCCACTTCTGCGGGATCAATACATCAACTTCTACTTCCAGCTGCAGGATTATGGGAAGGGCAGGGACACAAGACTTAGGGCTGTAGTAGGATACTTTGGGCCCCATGCATCAGATGAGTATCCCCCATTGTAATATCCCTCAGTGCATGTCCCTCCAACCAATACCAGGTCTTTCCCCACAACAAAAAGATTGTAACTGGAAAGTCTGCTACAATACCACCAATTACCATAGAGTGTATTGCGAGAGATACAGGTGGGCTTTTCTGTATGGGAATTGCCTCCTGACCTGGCAAAGAAAGGAACACAGAAGGTCCTCAAAATGGTGGAGGTTTTGTTATGGTAAAGGTGGAGTCCACATTCCAATTCCAGGTCCAATTTACCTGTACCTTTCCTCAGTGATCAGGTAAAGGGTTCCTTGGACTATTTCACCAAGGCTTATTCAGTTCTCACACATAGTACCTGGTAAACCGGGCTGGTGTTTCTGCAGGATTGGGCTGTTGAAGGGTCCAGTTTGGCTTCCTAACTTTAACCACCTACCTGCTGCTGAAGAGCATGGGTTATAGCAGGGGGCTTTACTCTTACGATGCATTGTGCCTGGCCTCTTAGGAGGAGCAGACAGATCCATAGTACAATGCTAGGATTTTACCTGGTGATACCACATCTTTGTAATTATATACCATGTCATTTAGTTACCATAGCCCGGGGGGATCATAGGATCTGCTCCTATGATGTGATCACATGACAAAGGGCGCAGAAGTGGACATTCTCATTCTGCAGCTGGCTGGTGCAAGTGGATACACATTACCTTTTTGTGTCCTCCCCCGGGCACATGAGTAATATTGTCCATTGAGCCGATCTTAGACTGGATCCTCTCCTTAAAATCCAGCTTCTCCGATTTCAGCTCGATGTTGCCTCCACCTGTAAAAGGAGAGACACAGACAAGTGATGGGCCCTACTTGTGAAAACATGTCCATAGCCACTAACACCTCTTCCCTTTGCTGCTGTAGGCTTTACAATAAGTGGCCGTTTTAGTCTGGGAGGCCGTCATAGGAAACATAATTAAAACATGGGACCTGATGAAGCTTGTATATCATATGGAAGTCATCAATTCCATGCTAAACTCTCCCCAGGTGCCTACAGATCCTGCCTGCATAGTAACTTCCCATGGATTTGAATGGGGCCTTACTCCAATGGGACTGTTATGGCCCATTTAAGTCTATGAAAATGCCTGAGGCCTGCTGTTGGTGGTGAAACGGGTCACCATCTCGCTACTGCTTTTATGCCGTGATTCAATGAAAAGCTTTAGGAGGGATCCCTGATTGGTGCCAGTTATCGGTACTGAGCAGGCAGCATTGGATTGGGCAAGCAAAGCCTGTGCAGTCGGCCCCGCCAGGGCAAAACTCTAAATGTTTCCCCTGTAGGTGAAAACTACAATCCTGTATAGAATAAGCAAGGGTTAGATTCTAGTTCTTCATCATTCTCTCCAATGCTAAAAGAAAACAACCGTTTGGCTGGCATTACAAAGTATGTTCCAGTTATGGAAGGATGGCTGTACCTGGCTTGTGGTGGATATTGCCCATAGAGCCGCACTTGGATGTCACGTGTGTGAGACTGATTGGTTTGTGTGTGATCTGCACCTGAGGATTGGAGAGAGACAATATTAACGGTGGAAACGCCAAACGAATGCCATTGGCTGTTCAAGAATTAGTGTCCGTTCCAGCACCCAAGTATCTGCCACCTAAACACAGAAAGCAGCCATTCTAAACACAGACCAAGGGACGTAACAGCAGTGCCTCCTCCGGAGATTTACTCATCGCTCCAGCCCATAGAATGGCCGCATGCATAGTGTTTAGGTTACAGGTGCACTTCGAACAATCAAAGAGTTATTAGGAATGCTTCATGTTAGGGATTGAAGTATGCTAGCGTGGTTAGAGAAAGCAGCCGTAACATCTCACGGTATGGTTCCTATAGGTAAACCTCCCTCTTGACTTGGACGCTGGTCCTGCACTGCAGACCCTTCAACCTTACTCACACTGCGTTATTAAGTGCAGTACAACCATTTCTATACAATGGCTCTCTGAACGATTGTATTTTATGGTCATGTTGCAATACCAGATTCTATCAGCAGATGTCACTGCAGCTTCTGCTCTAGGTAAAACCGGGGACAGGGGATGACCCATGCGCATTATTATAACAAAAGGTTCTCCAAACAGAGCATCTAGAAATCCATTGAAACCCTTCTGGACAATGACCTCACTCTATATTGTCTTATGGTTTGAATATGCGCAAGCCTTGGTATAACTATGTATACTTATTACTAGGGATGCACCAACACCAGTTTTTCTGTATCGAGTACCAAGTATTGGTGCTGTGTACCCCGATTATCAGGAAGTCGGGTAGTGGATAATGACCCCGTCGCCCAACTTCCTGATTGCCTGTGAAGCCGGTGTTCTAGTGAAAGAACACTGGCTTCCCATGCTGAGGCTTCCTGACCAATCAGGAAGCCAGGGGGGAGAGTTATGAAGTGCCATCTGGCTTCCTAATTGGTTAGGAAGCCAGGCTGCCAAGCAAAAAGTGGAGCCAGCTTCTCAGCCAATCAGGAAGACGGGCGGCACGTCATGACTTGTATTCTGGCTTTCTCATTGGTCAGGAAGCCACACTGCACAGCAATAAGTCATGACGTGCCGCTCGGCTTCCTGATTGGAAAAGGGAGCCGGCGCCATGCTCCCTCAGCATTGCCCGTCAGAGGGAGAGCTCCCCCTGACCAGAAGTTCTGGTATCGGAGATTTGGGGCAAGTACTTGCCCCAAATCCTCGGTATCGGTGCATTCCTATTATTACTCTTTAGACCACAATCCTGCTTTATTCTGCATTGTACAATGACAACACTATTCTAGTCATGTACAAATTGCGGCTCCCACAGATGGTGGTTCCCCATATTCATATCTCTGCACTGTAATATGTATTTACAACATGCAATGCACCATACAGAACCCAGTACATTTACATATAGGAACGTGATTGTGTTGTAATCATCCGTTATCCAGCACACTTGTTAATCTTGTATAATCTAAGCTTTCAGTAGGATGTTATTACAGTGTGTCAGTGCAGGCAGCCAGAATGAGAAAAATTAAAGTAAGCAAGCAGAAGGGAAGCCATGTTGGGGGCTGGTGACGGCTGATTGGTGCACTGGTGGCAGAGTGTCGGTGTATCTGTACGGAGAGTGTCGTCACTCACTGCTCCTCCCCCAGGGACATGCTTCAGGTTGTCCTTGGATCCACACTTGGACTGAATACTACCGACATCCACTTTCTTGTGGACAATCTGCACCTGCGGGAGGAACGAGGTAGGCGCAGGTGGTAAAACAGAACAGAAAAAAGAAACGGGCAGCAGATGGCATGAAGCGGGCGAGAGTGGATGGCGTGACAGACAGATGTGGGAATGTACCCCATTGGATGGAGGTGACTGGCAGAGAGAAGTTGGACAACAAGGAGACGGCAATTAGTAAGTCGTCTTCTTACATAGCTCCTTTTTCCACATTAGAAGCCCCCCCCCTACACCTCCCATCCACATTAGGAACCCCTTCATATCAAAGCCCTCCTTTCTTCAGGAGTCCAGATCATGAGCCAACATTCGCAGCAATGTGGGGAAGGAGGGTGGATGTGAAGTGGGGGCTTCTGATGTAAAATCCCCCTTATCCACATTAGGAAGCCTACCAACCAAACCCCCGACAATGCTCAGATACCTTGCCTCCTCCTGGCGTGTGCCGGATGTTGTCCGTAGAGCCGATCTTAGATCTGATGTTCTTCAGATCGGGTATTGGCACTGGGCCGGGGACCGGCTGAAGACGGCTTTTGGCAGAGGCGGGAGATTTGGGGGGAGTACGCACAATGGCCACCTTTTTGGGTTCCCGGTTGGATGCCACCTGTGAAGGTGTGCGGGAGCGACTTGTGGGAGTGCTGGGAGACCCAGGGCTGCTGTATCCGCTTCGATCACCAGATTTTGGGGATTCCGCTGCAGGAAAATTTGGAGTAGGTTTTATTACAGCTTCTGACCAATCAGCATTGTCCTGGCTATTTGTTTTATTTCAGATAGAAAGGTTTTAGTTATCCTGAAAGGGATTGATAACTCTGCACCTGTTGTCACAATTATGCTGAAGGAGCGTTCAACTAATTGCCCTTCTATGCTGAAGGAGCGTTCAACTAATTGCCCTTCAACTTAATGGAGCCCTATGTTGCCAGAAACATTTACACGAGTTATCAAAACCAATCTGAATTCTGCTTGTTTCCCCGACATGCACACAGATTTTGGCCTTGGCAAATTAGTTTAGCCAAGTTCATCGGTCAAAAGTAATTGCGAGCTCCTTTGGATTAAACAAGCCTTTGGCCTGTGATTTTTATTATTTAGTGAGAACTATGAGGTGAGTGCTTTTCCCTCACCTCATAGTTCTAGCTGACCTGTGACAATGAGACTGTCACAGGTCGGCTCAGTAGCTCGGGAGGTGAGCTAACACATACCGGCGTTCGCTCACCTCTCGATCCTGTCACGGCTCTCTGCCGTGACAGGGGAGGGGCTGGATTCCCCCCTCCCCTGTCCGATCCGCCAGCGCTGACTGGCGGATTGGACGGGGAAGGGGGCGGGTACAGCTGGCTCTGGCATAGCCAGCTGTCACTCACACAGCTGGGCGGATCCTGGCACAATTGTCGGGATCCGCAGACGGCGTCTCAGTATACCGCGAGCTACAGCTCAGGGTATACTAAGCCTGTGGTGACGGGAGGACGCTAATTTGTGTCCTCCCGTTACCTGGAGAACTATGGGTTAAAGACTTAACCCCATAGTTCTCCTTTAAATTCGATCAGTTTAGTCACACTGAATGATCACTTGTATCTCATACTTCTAGTGGCCACATATATCATATTGATATATAAGTGCCTAATGATGAGGAACATAAGGGACTGCAATACTTCATGACACCTGTCCTATGAACCGCTCACCTCTCTCACCTTTTCCCACGCTGGGTGGCACCTTTTTCTGATCTCTTCTCACACCTGTAAAACACAACAAATAAATCAAATTAATGTACAACGTGGTGTAGTCCAAGCCTTCAAGCCTGATGGAGGTGAGTGAAAAGAACTCACAAAATGTTATAGTTCTAGCTGACCTGCGATTGGGAGGGTACAGCTGGCTCTGCCTCTAGATAGTCAGGGCCAGCTGTCACTCACGCAGCTGGGCGAATCCAGACAATTGTCGGGATCCACTTCAGCGTCTCAGTATACCGCAAGCTGTAGCTCGTGGTATACTGAGCTTAGGGTAACGGGAGGACGCCAGTTTGTATCCTCCCATTACCCTAAGGTCATAAAAGCCTCCTGTAGCTAACAGACACCCTTTGATAATGATGCTTTAACTGATAACATTGTGACACAGATCTCCTGAAATTTGGTGATGTCACTACTGTGCTGCTTAATGCTGGAGATGAAGTTGTACCTGAGGCTCTGAAGTGCAAGCATCTCCCTGCTTCTTCCACCTCTCGTGTTATCTTTTCATCATGACCCCCAGCAGTCCATTAGGAGGAGCTCTGGCATGAGGAAGCAAAACCCTGCCTCTACCAAAATGGCCATCTCCACCCAGAGACAGTGTAGAACAAGGCATGGTCAATTAGTGTAGCCACTCTACTTAAGGTGGAAGGGGTTACCTAAAATCTAGTATTACTAGCATTGTAATCAGCCTGGATGATTTGTAGTCTAGTATCATTTGGTTAATCTATGCGTTCTGCTATTGATTGCACCTACCTGTGGGGTTTGGCAGCCAATAGGGGAACATTAGGAGTGTCTATGCCTCACCAGCCGTTTCATGGCCAGTGGTGCATGCTGGGGAAGTGCCTAAATACTCAGGAAATACCATGTGCTCAGTCAGTCCACCCCCAGGCCTAGCCTTGGGGTGGCATGTACAAGGTTGAAGAAGCTGAACAGTCCTCAAGCCTGGAGGAGGCCACATGTAGACCCAGGTGGGGTCTGGAAGTATCTGGGGAGGGGAACACATCAATACAACGTCCTAAGTCTGTAATGGGCATTGTAGGGGAGACTTGACCACCAGTCCCCATTGTCTTACTATCATTGTTTAGTGCCGATTGGTGGCTCTTGTGTAAGAACTGTTTGTATTTCCTAAGTCACCTGGTTAAAGAAAGCCCACCCTGCATATACTTTACCAGCTAAGCATCCATCCCAAACCATTCAGATTTTTCTCCAAAATGGATATAAAAAAGACAGTTCTGAATCAACAAATTTCCTTTAAAAGGAAGTTCCAGGTCTAATAAAGTATACACAAGCATACAGATGAACAAAAGACGTTCCTATTGGATTACATATAGAACTTCCAGATCTTCCATGCTTTGAGCAGCCCTCCTTTAGTGGCTTAAGAACAAAGTGCGGAAACCCCAAGTAACCACATTGAACTTTACTGAAGCCAAACCTATAATTGATTTTAATTGGTCACAATGCACTATTTTGAGTCTATTGATTTGCTGGCATTATCAACTGACTTACCGCCAGGGGGAGTCTTGGGGACTGCTGTGGGTGTCTTTGAAGGGATTCTGGATGTGTTGGTGGGTCCTTTGGGAGCCGGCTTACCCCCTGCACTCTCAACCCCATCCTGTTATACATGAAATGCAAACATTAGCAATCAAAAGCAATGGAGAATGTAATATAGTACAGAGACACCCAACACTGCTTTTCTAGGTTGGCTGGCAACACTTAAAGGGTTATTCACAAAAAGGGTGAAGAGTTTGGTCAGTTCTGCCTTCTCCAAACTCTTCACCAATCTAGGACAACATAGCTGTACTGGAAAGTGAGCTGAATTGGAGAATTATTCCAGTTCAGCTATGTTGTCCTAGTTTGGTCACTTCTCCTGCCTTCTCCAAACTCTTCACTTTTCTGTGAATAGCCCTGTCATTGTCTTACTATGAAGTGGTTTGTCCACACAGCTCTTAGGAGAGGGGCAGGTACTCGGGGCTAATTTTGCACCCCCTAAACAAGACTTGGCAGAATGTGTGATGGTCTCCATCAGTGCAGGACTGCTCTTTGGTCTGTTTATATCACTGAAAATGGCTGCATACACCAATCATTTTACCTATGGCTGGACAGGAAACATAGCTATGACCGCCCAGAAGGAGTATCAAATTGTCAACTTACCCCTGCTAGTCTTCCCATAATCCCCCATTATTGCAACCAAACAACGTGCACTGACCATCTAGGGTTCTCCTGGGTTGGAAACTTCTAGCCTATCCCCCTCATATTTATACAGGAAAGTTGGTACTTCAGTTATGAATGGGCACCAGCAGACTAAAACTATTGGATGGCTCATTGAGACGCCAACCATATTTCCTTGCACTAGTATGTTCCAGCCATTACAATGGTGTCACGCTCTCTTAGCTAAACCCTCCAATTATCCCACGTTATGGAGAATCCATTCAGGGAGCAATCATTTGCTTTTGTATTGGCTGCATCAAATTGGACGGAACAAAGTATATTTATGGGGATGGTTCATGAAATCCCTGAGAAATTAGCCCACATCTGACTCCAGTTGCCTAAAAATCAGCCAGTCTGAAGATCAGGTTTGCACGGAGCTAGCTTTTAAACTGCCCCAGAAAGCAGGAAATATTACAATGTTGGTGCTAATGGGGGCACGTGGGTGTGGCATAGCAACAGTATCCTCAGGATATCTTCCCCCAAGGTTCCAATCCATACCAGTGGTAAACTGGACACCCCCATTTTACCCTTGCATCAAGTTAACTCAAAAGTATTAAGTACCCTCGTATGTACATACACTAGTTATTGCACAAAAGCATTTCAGCGACCAAACAGAAAAGCCAGTTATGAAAGAAAAATTATGGCAAGAATGAAAGTCAGCATGTGTTAATGGAATGAAAAGGACAGCCCTGGGCAAATCAAGCAAGCATTTGTTATCAGATCCATCACTAACTCACGCAGGACCTCTTCTTACCTTTACCCGTGAAGGGGTGCTCAGCGGGCGGTACGAGGCTGGGGATGCCCTCTGTGTGAGGCTCCTCGTGGGAGGGACTGTGGGGCTAGAAGGTTTTTTCTGGGTGGTTGTGCTAGTGGAAGGGGATCGTTTGGGGATGGTGGAGCTTCGGGTTGAAGAGTGTTTGGGAAGGGATGGAGTTGAGGATGTCTTCAGAATGTAAAACAAAACGTAACATGAACAGAAAAATAAAATGGTGATATTATAATAATAAAAAAAAGCAAAATAAAAGCAAAACAAACCAAAGCTTTCTGTGAAAGATGAGAATGTCGATGGAGAAATAAGAGCATGGCTGTAAATATCTCAGTGACGGAATTGGGCTGCTCTGCTGGTGACTGAAGTAGCACTGGGGTTGTAGGAGGAGAGCAAAGAGTACCCTGAGCTATCCATACCAACCAGACTGCAGTGGTGATTTACTAACCTGCACTACAAAAATAATTGCTGCTGTCTTTTTGTATCAGTCCACTACACACACGACCCAACCTTTGCAAGTAGTTCAATTGTTCTTGCAGTGATCAGGTTGTGAAATGTGTGAGCAGTTAGAACACCGTTGATTGGGTCAAGGCTGGTGTAGGCTAACCAGAATTTCTAACAACAGTGGCTATGTTACGTAGCTTGGCTCTAGACACGGCCAGATGGCCTCCAACCTCTCCTAGTACTAGTGAGGCATCTACTGATCTCCGTAAACAAGGCATCATTGCTTACTCAGCCCAATTCTGATACCACACAAGGATTTGGCTCTGTTGGTAAAACTCTGTTCTGCAATATAAATGCAAAATGGTAATCCTGTCATGGGAGAAGTATGAAAGCGGCCATTGTCCAGTTTTTTTTTTTTAACATATATCAAATGCCAAAAGGGATAACCCTGCCACGTTTGGTCATTCCGTTTGTGTCCTACTGGGGCGCTTTACTTTCACTTCCTGTTGTGATGATGGGAAGTGAGAGAAAATCTGTGAGGGTGTGTAAGCCCATCTGAGTTGTCATTGAACAAGTGTCCCCATTGGAAGCTGGTTGGATGACCAGTGAAAACTCAAGAAAATTACAGCAAGTCCAGTTAGTTGCCTTGACTTTTTTTTTTTTTTTTTTTTTACAGAGGTTCACAATTGGAAGATTTCCCTTTGTCCTGGTGACAACTCAGGACAGGAAGGGATGGACACAGATAGCAATATTACCTTGACAGTGGTGTTCCGAACCCTAACTCCCCCCCCCCATTCCAAAATGCAATAGAACATGGTGACCCCCTTCATCACTCCATCTGGAGTGATGAAGGGGGTCTGTTTATGCATGATTTGGCATTAAGAGGGGTGGAGTTTAAAAGGAATGGGCGGAGAGTAAACGGCAAGACATTCTGACTGGTACTGGTTCTCAGTGATATCCAATCTGTATCTTGAGACCTTTAGCAAGGATAGTGCACAGGTTAAAGAATAAACCTAAAACTCAAATGCTCTACAAGCCACTGATTGCAGCTGAACTACACAAAAGCAGAGCCCCCACCGCCCCTTACATGCGTCACAGTGCACTTAAATTTGTGTTCGATAAATTAAATAGGAAATGGCAAAGAAAAAAAAAAATGCATGACATCATGGAGACAAGAGTAGCCCTGCACTTCTGTTCTGGTCCTGGGTGGAGACGTTTTCATTGACAGCAACATGTGTAATAGGCATCAATCTGCGTCTGGCAATTTTCAGCACGCCGGCTGCTCTGATATAAACAGGAAGTTCTGCCTTTTGTAGGAGAGATTCATGTCAGGAGGGGGATTCAGTGACATGAGAATGTGAACGCTGGTCATACTAATTACACATACGTGGCCTGGAGATTGGGAGCGGACTGTGGACATTGAAATAAAAATGAACATTGGGTTGATTCCAGAATACGGCTTTTTTTTCCCCACCACTCTGTGCTCATAAATGTAACACACTGCAGTATTGGGCCAAACCAAACACATGATGCATATAGGTAGAGGCTAGGCCCACCCCCTCCTGCCAATAGGTAGAGGCTAGGCCCACCCCCTCCTGCCAATATGTCCCCCTTCATAGGGCAGGTAGAGGCTCTGGCATTTGACAGTTGAATGAGAGTGGGCGGGGCTAAGTGTAGGGGGACATAGGGACTTAAAGAATAAACCATCTTGTACATGTTGCCTCCCTATCTGTCCTTCAGACATTTTCCAAATAACGTTTTTAATGTGATCATGTGAAAAGCTATTTCCCTTGAATGAATGCAGGCAATAGGGAGACAATATTTAACAGTTGGATTATTGTTTAGCCTTTCCTTATAAAATGTCTGTATGGGCAAGATTTTTTTTTTTCATTTTAGGTTGGGAAAGGGTGAAAACCCCGATCAGGTTTTTATTGCTATCCGTCTGCCCGATTCATCCTGGTGACCACAGAAAGGCATGGGAAATTCAAGTTTATACAGTTGTCACCAGAGCAAGAGGTGGGTGGAAAGGTTACACTGGCGATACCTGTTCCGGTGCCAACTGTCACTTTCAGATTTTACTTCTGGTTGCGTCTTTGGGACAGGAAGGAAGATAAAATCCCCCCAATGGAGCACAAATAGCATGAAGTGGATTGGCAGGGGTTTTTAACTCTTCCCTATTCTGCCCATTTAAAATTTGGACTATACATACACACTTTTTATCTCAATTTGGAGAGACGTTGAGGTCCTGTGTACAGCCTGGGTCTGGGATCCAAAGGACTCCACAGGGACATATGAAGGTAACTGTACTTCAGCGTTATTGTTACACCTAAACCTGAGGTCTGCAGCCCTCCCAGTATGTGGGCTACATTCAAATGACTGGAGATAGTAATATTGATTGGAATAATCACCTTCTATATCGGACCTTTAAACAAAAGAGCTATATCAGATACGTTCTGTATAGTCATGCCTATAGGTGGTGTATAATGAAGATGTGACAGGCAGGCTGTAAAAGGATCTACACATGACCCACAATGCACCGCTATGGAATGCGGATCTGAATGGTCAGATGTCTCCTGCCTTGGCATTGGCTCTCATTTCACATTGGAAATTCTCTCCTTACCTGTCCTGATTTTTCCTGGGAATCGATTTCGTGTTTTTCTTGTTCGTGAGCTGCAAGAATCAAAAGATGCTAATCAGTAAAGGATCTCACATTGTAAGAAGCCCGGGAGAGGTTGTTCGAGAAACCCTGAAACCTGGAGCACAAAGCCATTTTGTGGGCAGTTCAGAGAATACAATTGAACACATTGATATTACTAGGCATGGCGGATACAGACCAGATCTAGCCGACAACTGCTTACTGGTAAAAAGGAACTCCGGTACCATTATGTTTCTGGCTACAGTAAAACACAGGTACCGTTCATGTCATGACAAGGCCTTCATGTCATTAATCAAGAAAGCTGGCCGTATACTAGTCAAATTTTGGGCCAGTTCTGCAATGTGTGGCCCCCATCTGGACCCTCTATTTCATTCGAGCCGGTCCGATCAGCTGCAGTCACCATTCGCTTCCTAGTAAAGGAAATCTGATGCAGAAGCCGACTGCCGACAAAATGGCTACCAATTTGGGCTAATTTAATAAGGCATAGAGCAATGAGTGAAGTGTCCAATCAGAATACAGCGTTTGCATTGCCTTATTAAATCTGTCCAGCAAACAGCAAATCATCATCTAGGATGTGTTACATTCTAATGCTCTATGAACACAAAGCCGTCCTACAATGATCAGACAAGAGCACGTTCTTCCATATTATTAGTACCAGGCGTTGTTTACTAGGAAGTCGCAGTGTTTGAAGTCCAGGAGCATTCAGGCATGCAAATAACTGTTAGTCACAGGAAGATCAGAGACAAAGTCAAACATTGGAGCCCATTTCTCATCTACAGTTTAATGTTCTGCAAAGCAAGCAATCACCATCCATCTGTTGGAAAATAAATTTGGCTATGTACTATGATCACCTAAACCGGCTACATAACACGCTCCCACTCCGGCAAACCACCATTATGCTGTAGAGAGTGCTCATTGCCCTTTGTATAGAAGCAGTGTTCTCTCTGCAGAGGTCCTACACACCACATCGAGTCAGAGCTTCAGTTATCCAATCAGTAGGAAGCATGAGTCTGTTGAATGAAGAGCAAAAGTGTGTCAAAGCCTTTGCAGATGCTTTCTATTCATTGGATAACTGTAGCTCTGACTTGACAGGGGTGCATAGGACCTCTGCAGAGAGAACACTGCTTCCATCCCTTCCATGCATGCTGGCACGGATCAGATGTCTCTACGCAGGCTCCTTTCCAAAGAACAAAACCTATAAAAGACTTGGCACACCTTTTATTCTGATACACGTGGCATGTATTTGGCGGATCTGGAACAAAGCAGGATTGATTTATTTATGGCTTCTACCCCTCCTAATCACAGCCAAGTGATCTGAACCATACAAAAAGCAAACTTGAGCACATGAGAGAAGAAAAAGCATTATTATTCCAAACCTTAAAGCAGAAACTACAACCTCCTATACTTTACAGCCAAGGAAAGCACCATCTTAGCATCTATATGAATTGCAGTTGCCATGGTGCTGCACATGTGATCAGCTACACCACCAGCCATTTGACGGCTTGAAAGTTTGTTGGAGCTGAAATAAGCCATACCAACTGTGACGGTTGCCAGTGTGCTTAAAAAGGTAGGAATGCACCGATATTGGTGCCAATACCGAATATTTGGCCCAGTACTCGTACTCGCCCAAAAGCTCCGATACCTAGCTCTGATACATGATCTTCCGGTCAGAGGGAGATCTCCCTCTGACCAGCAGTGCCAAGGGAGCATGGAGCGGCTTCCTTTCCAGTCAGGAAGCTGGGAGGCGGGTTCTGACCTGCTTCCCAGCTTCTTGATAGGTTAAAAATCCAGGCTGCCTAGCAACAAGTGCAGCCAGCTTCCTAGCCAAACAGGAACCCGGACAGCACGTCATGACCCGCCTCCCAGCTCTGATTGGTGAGGAAGCTAGGGCAGCACCATCAACAAGAGAAGTTGGCTTCATAGCCAATCAGCAAGTCAGAAGGCGGGTCATGGCGTGCCACCTGGCTTCCTGATTGGCTAGGAAGTGAAGCCGGTCTTCTATCAGGAAGGTCATGATCCACCGCCCGACTTCCTGATAAATCGGGGCACATGGCATTGGTGAAAAAAAAGTATTGGTGCATCCATACTTAAAAGGTAACTGTTTGGGCAGATATTCAATTGGTGCTCACGGCTTGGCCGATTCAGAAGGAATTTGATGACATTTAAGCTGTGGGTGGCCAGCTGAAAGCAGGCGGTAGATCAAGAGACGTAGAACGCTGAACTTGTGTAGAAACCAACTTTTAAGATAAAAGTCAGGCTTGAGTCCTCCTATTGCTCCGCATAACTGCGCATTACATTGGAATAAATAGTAACTTGGATGGTGGAGCAAGTTGAACTTGACAAGTTTAGGACCAGCATAGAACTACATCTATTGATCGCTTTGACACATAACTGACGGTAGCCTCTGCTATGAATTCATTTGATCAGATCATAGTTTGAATTTCCAGCCTTCACATGGTTTCAGAAGTGAATTTGCCTTTTATGTAAATAAGCCATTAAGCACAATCACCTAGATAAGCCAGCCAGGACAGAACACATACGTTATAGGACTCGGTACAACGCCATTTTGTCCTGGAAGAAAAATCTCCACATAGATCATTAAAATCCCAAATTACATTGGCTGGAAGTTTTAATAAAGCAGCAACCATACTGAAGCTGACCCATAGCGGTCTCCTCCTGAGTATATATCCGGTAACCAGACAATGAGGAATATCTCAATAAATAGACTGCTCACTGGCGGTTCTACGTATTATCGCGATTAGGCGGTCTTGTGTTTGTAGATTACACTAGTGCCATTTTATTTGTCCATCCAGTCATCATGTTTTTAGGGGCCTCATGTTTAGAACCAGTGGAATGTTTATTCTCCATCCTGCTTGGATATACTCTGCTTCAAGTATAGTTTAAAGGCCGCTGCCCCCATATGGGAGAAGTTTAACTGGTGACATCATGGTGGATGTCAAGATTAACCCATTCCATGGCATCTTCACTGCTGCTGAACATTTACTGCAGGTCAAAAAGGACAAATAAATATACACAATTGGAATTCTACAGAACATTTTTTTTTTTTGGTTCGTATCGTCTTGCAATTTTAATTGAAGGTCAATTCAGTCAAAATGCCCCTTTTTATTTTATACAGCCACTGTATTATCTTCTGAGGACCTCCAGACGAGAGATATTGAGCATCCAGCTCCATTCACCTACATCCACTTCCTTGTATTTTTTTTAATTTAACATATTGGAGAATGGAGAGGCACTGGACCCCCATTGTGGAGGGAAGGGGGGGGGGGGGGTGGTAAGGCCAAAGGGGAGATCAGTTTTCTACACCCCAAAAACTATGCACATATCCAGACTCGGCCTACCATCGGGCCTAATCCTGGGTGGACGTACCCTAACCACACATACAATACACCCAATCATCCTTATATGCAACATGACAACTATAGAAATAAGCAAGAACATTTGAAGAAATCACGGTGAGGCTTCCTTAAAGTTCAAATCAGCTAAATACATTCCAGGTGAATCAAAACAAAAGCGTGTTTTGTTAGTTTCTTTTCTTTATAAAGCTACCCCAGCCTAAGGAGAAAAGCCTGTCCCCCCCTGCCAGCATCATGCAGAGTGGACCCTTGTGCTCTGTCGGAAAGCAGTGGTTTATCTGCCGAGGTCCAACACACACGGGAGTATGTTGGATCTCTGTAGAAAGACCACTCCTTCCCCCACAGCAAGCACGGGTCCTTCTATGGCTTATCTAATGTGGCTGCTTTAAGACAATCTGGAAGACTTTGTACACCTTTTGTTTTGATGCACCTGGAATATATTCCAAATTTGAACAGAAACTTCAATTGGGCTTTAAACATTTGTTGACCATTTCATATTGCTTTAGAGTTAACATATTTCAGCAAGTGCATGTGTCATGAGTTTGCACGCACCTTTACTAGTCATCAAAATGTCTTGTACTGTAATGTACTTTAGGAAGATTCCAGAACCCAGCCATACACTGTACACAGGCCTTCAGCTCAAGTTCCAAGTCAAAATTCAGGCTTCCCATCAACTGGGTACCTCACAATCCAATAGGGACTGTGATATATTGGCTGTTGAGGTAACGGCATAGAATTGCGGGGAACCAGAGCTTGGACTTACCAGTTTGTGAGTAACATCTAAATGTTATGAACACCTAGTGAGTATGAACACAGCTTCTTAGTCCATACTGGGATGGCCCCCGATCCAGGGTTATAAGCTACAGGGCTCAATACACAAGTGAACCAGGTATTTGGTGAACGGTATAATTTACAGTACAGGTTACACCGACTATGCAAACTTTGTTCCTTCGAATGACTCTCCCAGATGGAGGACACTGCCAGGGGAACTTCAAAGAGAACTGTATCTCAAGCATTGTAGATGACCTGAAGGTAAGCAATAATGCTCAAAAACCATTTGTACTAATAATAGCAATAATAATAGATACTGCAAAATCAAACAATTTAAATGAGGAAACCTCTGCTTGCTCTTACGAACGTTGGAACGGCATAACTGAGACCAACAGATACTGAACAATTGTAGAGGCAGCGACCCAAGAAATGTCTCTTAAACAGGTGCCATGTGATCCATCTGTAGATGTTAACATAGCATTGACCACAAAATAATGGTATAAATTATTTAGAACATCCAGAATGATACAAAGCAAGAACAGAGGCCTTCAGTCTAGATTTAAAGGGCTTATCAATTTCTACAGAGCCAACATCCATCTTCAAGCAAAGAGGATCCTACTCAAACACCAAGTGATTCATCATCAAACGGAGAGGGCACCGAGTGTCAATTTGAAACCAGAGAAAGTGAATTTAACGAAAAGCTAATTGCCCTTTAAGTTGTTGTTATAGCAGAGCCACGGCAACCCAATGTCTAAGTGCCTCTCAATGTTAGATGAGCACACGTGGATGTGCGCAGTGGACAAACATGCAGTGAGGTGGGGGTGGACAGAGACCATGCAATTATGTCATGCTCTAACACCAACTATATAAAACAATACTAGGAGAGGGTGAAAAGGGGAAGGTACGGGGTGCACACACTTGCAATGTGTGTCCTTCAAGCAAGTTAGAAAAGCAGAAGGCAGCCATGGGAGCTCAGAGGAGGCTTTAGTAGACCAGCCACATTAGAAGTCAACTGGAAACACACCTTTAAGAACAGGAACGCGGCTGACCGGTATTCCAGATCCATGTGGAGATATTCGTTTTCGGGGGGCCACCACAGTCTCACTGGTCACTGGAGAAGGCAATCCTGGGATTTCCTCACTAGGTGTGCCTGCAGCTGAACATGGTTCTATTTTGTTCTCCCCCTCTATGGTTCTGTTGGCATCAATCTCCACTTGGTAAACAGACACAGAGGGCCGTGGGCGAGGGAGCACTAACTGGTCTTCTGCAGAGAAAGTACCAGCTGCTAAGTCAACATATGGCTTCTCTATCCCATCCTCCTGTTTATCATTCAGCTCAGTGAAAACAGAACCTTTAAGCAGTTGGTTGGCATCCACTGTTGTAAAGCTTTCAGCCACCAGACCATTTGTCTCAGGCTCTAGACCACGAGGCAACTCTTTCCCAATGCACCGAGGAGATACAGCATCACGGTCCAACTCTCCTCCATCACTGCGCTCCTCCAATGAGATGTGGTTGCCTTCATAACCATCTTGATCGTACTCTTTGCACGACTTATCCAAGGGAACGAATGGCAGTCTTTCTTGCCTTTCTGAATTTTCGGTAACCTCGTTACTTACGGCAGTCCACCCTGAACTAATATCTTCATATGTGTCTCCAGTAACGACACAGAAGTCTGTTGGGTGTGTATACTTCTGGGTCCCATCTGAAGTTTCCGAAAGATCTGTCACTTCCTGTTGTGATTCTGTTTCTGGAGTGTTGCTACAAGGCTCCTCTGCCTCCATCTCGCCTGGAAGGGGTTTAATCTCTGGGGTTCGGGTAAAAAGGGCAAGTTTGATGTAATAATATGAAACAGGTAATGAATGTGGGTCAACGACTGCTACGCAAAAATCAAAAACAGCTAGCTCAGGGCTGGCTAAAACCCAAGAACCATACAGCCAATGTGCCTAAACAACCAATTCCCCTCCCCTGATCTATTAAACTCTCAAATGCAAAATGGAAATGAAAAGGGATCATGTTAGGGTTGCCACCTGTCCAGGATTCACACAGACAGTTCGGGTTTTGAATACAGTGTCTAAATTTCATGGCAGCAGAAACCCGGACACAAGATGTCAGGCAGACAGGGGCAACCAAAATTAGGATTGGGGCTACTGGCCCCCCACTGAAAATAGTCACAACTGTGATCTTTACATATGAATAAGCCACCACTCATTCTTCCCAAAAAAAGTCTGCGCGTCAGTTGCGTCTTCGGGTTTCGCTTGAATAAAAAGGTGGCAACCCTAGATCATGTGCCTATGGAACTATGAATATTGTACATGTGTAGTAGTAAGCCAGTGGTAGGCAAACTCTGGCCCTCCAGCTATGGTGCAACTACAAATCCCATGAGGCATTGCAAGGCCCTGACAGCCACAGGCATGACTCCCAGAGGCAGATGCATGATGGGATTTGTACTTTCACCACAGCTTGAACGCCAGAGTTTGCCACGCTTGGAGTCAGCGATAGAATATATATTAAACATTTTACATGTACAGCTAACTACCAAGCTGCAGATGATCAATGCTCATGTATTGAATGATGAATAAAGTGTTTATAACCCCAAGGACATACAATATACTGCAGCTTACCAACCCTAGGTTATGGTGCATTCATTTATTTTCTCCTTTTTACATTTTAACCTAGAAATCCTGCCAGAGATATACTTCCTGTCCATAGATAACAGTAGAGTACAGGAAGTGAGCATTGTCATCCTAGGAGTGGAGTCTTATCAGCCCTCCCCAGTTCACCTCTGGGAGCCCTAAGGTGAACTGGGGAGGGCTGATAAGACTCTTGGGATTTCACAGCAGCAGAGGCAGCGTTGTCAGGTCTCTACAGGAAGTTCTCAGATCACTGGATTTCTGGCAGGATCAACAGGTATTTTTTGCACTTATCAAACAGATATAACAAAATGCTTTCCATGGTATATTTAGCAGACCGAATAAGAGACATTCTTTGTTGGCGTTTACATACACTTTAAGAACACGTACAGTATAAAAGAACACGTACAGTATAATAGAACACGTACAGTATAATAGAACACGTACAGTATAATAGAACACGTACAGTATAATAGAACACGTACAGTATAATAGAACACGTACAGTATAATAGAACACGTACAGTATAATAGACACGTCATTTAGTCTCATTTCCAGCAGAATAGTGATAACGCCCCCCCATATCAAGAAACGCAAAGGGGTCCCCACTTGCTTCAGTCAACCTGTAGGCACCAGAGACCGCTCTCCTCTGTTTCCAATGCTTCCCTTTAACGTTACAAGAGGGAGGGCTGCTCTGTGTTCCTGTCCCCAATTACGTTACTGATTGGTTAATGACTGGTTCTCTTTAAACAAAGTATTTTCGGAATATAAAAACAATCAGTAAACAAACAGTTGTTGTAGCAGCAGACACATTTCACTTTAATAGGCCAATGATTCAAAGCAACCAATCAGAAATTAGAGTTAAAAGGGTCTGTAGGCTGAACTCGGTGGACTTGTGTCTTTTTTCAATGTAACTAAAAGTCTGCTTATTTATCAATAAACATTTGCTAACTGCAGTAACCTACACATTCGGGGTAGGCTACCTCAGCACTCCAGCTGTGTGCATACTACAAGTCCCATGATGTCTCTGCTTCTGGGAATCATACATGTGACTGTCAGAGTTTTGCCATGTATCATGCAGGGCCATCCCTATAATGAGACACCCCCTGTTGCGGTTGCCTCAGGCGGCATCTCATTGGGTCATTTGGGGGCCCTTTCCAGCCAGAACGTTCCAGGTTACTAAGAACTGTTAGCAACCTGTCATGCGTCCTGACATCACGACATCACTGGTTGCCAGGAGCTGAGCAGGATGCTCTGGCCAGTGTCTCGCCCAACTCCTGTCAACCAGCGGCATCAGTGCGGTGGGTGGGACGCCGGATGCCCCCCCCCCCGTATCATGCACCATTGGCAACCCCCCCCCAATCCCGTAACGGGCACCATTAGCACCTCCCTAGTCTAGGGAGACCCCTGGCTTCACCGGACTTGTAGTTCTGCAACAGCTGGAGTGCTGATGTTGCCTATCCCTGCTATAGATATACTCAGGTCACCAGTACAATATGAATTCTGATTGGTTATGGGTCCTGTCTTTACACGGTTTTATTGAACTGTGGGATGCAAAGTGAACTAACTGATCACAACCAATCACCCTTCAGGAGGAGTTCAGACGGGTTGGTATGAGTTGCACACATTGCACGCTCGTCATCATCTTGTATAAACTGGTTGAACACACCCATACCTTACTGTGTACATTACTGGTGCAGCCATCATCATCTGCACAACCCACGTACTGGCCATGTCCACAACAGAGTCAGCCTTGGATGGTTGCTGTGCAGGATCAGAGTATTACCCCCCATAAGTAGCTGTATAATAAAGAACCAGTAACCGTACCTTTTGCTGAATCCCCTGCAGCCTGGTCCTCTTGGCTGGGGGTGTCACCAACACCAGCTTCCTCTGCTGAAGGACATGAACAGAACATCAAGTAAACGGTTCCTGAAATCTGGTCCAATCCAGGTGCCCACACACACACCAAGATCACACCAGGCTCTGCTGATAAGGATCAAACATGCAGAAGAATGCAGAGAGCCTGGAAAGTCACACACTCATTTTGAATGATTTCAGAAGAAAGCCAACGGCTGAGTGCCATACTTAGCTGGGGCTATTCCGGTGACACAGACATAGTCGTGTGATCACATCTCAGCAGGGACAGAAATAAAAGCGTGACGCGGTAGCAGAAAAATGCTGCGAGAATAAGGAGAGAAGAATCAAGGAGATAGAAGAAGAGATGCCCATTTCAGAGCGAGGAAAGGACTGAAAGCTGGCATGCACTGTGTGCAGAAGAAGCAAGATCAGGTAAAGGACGAGGGCAGGTAGGCAGGGCGACTTATAGGAGGCCATAGAAGGTGGCAAAGTGAAGCAAGTCAGGGCTGCAGTAAAAGAAGGTGAAGGATCAAGAATGTATTTTCTAAATGGTCTTCCATAAAATGTAGATATATAGAATATTTCCTATAAGTATATCCCAAGCCAAATCTTTCCTTTTAGTTTTGGATAGAGTAGGGAACGGATACAACTCTTCATTTTGTTTTTTTGTACTACGTCCTATTATGGAGATATTCCTTCATGTCCCAGACACAAACAGGATGTGAGCGGAAATCCTCTCCTTGCTGTCACCATAACAAGTGTCCCCACTGGAAGATTTCCCCTCTATTCCTGATCCGATGACAACGCAACCTTTTGGATTTACCTTCACATTCTGTCCCCATGACAATGGTCACAAGGATAAATAGAGAGGGAGAATCTTACCAATAGGGGCGCAGTAATATAGACTTCTCAGGGGCGCTAACCTTTTCACATTCTATCCAAACACATATTGGCTTTAGATATGCTTTTACCTGTACCAAGCTAAAGTCAACTGACCCAGGAATATAAACACCCCGCTCCGTTCTCCATGAGGACACCATGTATGTATGTATGTATGTATGTATGTATGTATGTATGTATGTATGTAAAGAATATGGTAACTGGTTTTGATATGCAGTGCTTTAGCAAGCTAAATGTCATCTAAGTAGGATTAGGATCTATTTTAATACAACAGCGGTTCCCTTTTAATAGGAGTTCCTATCAGGAAAAGTATTTGTATGGAATTGTACTGTACCAGAGCTTCTAATTCAGATAATAATCTGATGTTTAACAAACCTTTGATCCAAAACCAGCTTTTACTCCATGATTTAGAAGCATGCTCTCACAAAGATTCAGAGCAGTAAAGCAGAGCACAGCCACACGTGGCAAAGCCAGGAGGGACATGGTGCTCCCAAGCAGGACCTTGGCAAATAAGCAGTTAACTTGGCCAACTTCTGCCTTACCGGGGGATGCCTCAGGGGTCTCTGTGTGACCCTGATCTTTTAGTGCTTCTCCATTGGCTAGATCCTCCTCTAGCTCTGTGGCCCCGTCTGTAAGAGGATGATAAGACAGCAGGCGTTATGTGTGAGCCGAGCAATAATCCTAAAATATGCCGAACGTCCCGTAATAAGCCCTTGGAAGCCTGCGCGGTTATCTTGTCGCCAGCTTTTACCGACTGTCAGACAAGGTTCTAATATGACAAGATTTGTTTCCCAACAATGAGGATTACTTCTATACAAAGTGTACAAGTGACAATACTCTGTCCTGTGGCACAGAATTACATGATAAAGACTATTTCAATATCTATGATGCCAGGCGCTGTACGCACTGGTTTTGATGTCCAGAGATGACCGTACCTTTAAACGATTTCAAATTTCTTCCATATGCTATACACCGGTCTGCTTTTCAAGGTAAAGGTAGGGGGTGGCAAGAGGCCACTAGCGAAAACATTCCAGCACAGCTTTGCTGATGGTCCTAGCTCTAGTGTCGGGTACCTTACCATTAGCCTGATTACCACCCAATCAGTGGGAGGAATCTCACAATACATGGAAACCTCTTGAACACCATGTCCCTAGTGGGGTTTAAACCTGGAACTGAGAGCTGTAAGCCAAGCGGGGCACCTTTATACATGTGCATTGTGTAGAAATGCTGCATTGCACTACCCAGGCTGTACAGTGTTTACTGTCCTGGTACCCAACCTGCAGCCCAAGGGTTACATGCCACCCTCAGGCCCCAGCAGTCAGAAGTGGCAGCACTGATTTGTAAAGGGATCTTTAATAACTAATCCCTAGCAGTTTCATGTAACATTCCCCTAGGATCTGAGCGTCTCCTGCAGCATTACTTCAGTCTCCAACCACTTTTGTAGAACAGTCTCTGACCATTTCCTCTCGAAAGTCTTCAGTCTATGAGTCTTCTGTAGCATTATATCAAATAAATATTATAGGTGGCCCTTTGGAGATATCAGGTGCTCCTTTTGAGGCCCCCTATACCGTGTAGGTAAACAATTATGGGTATACTTTTCTATTTTCAGGTTCTTCATGCTCCAGTACTATAGGTGGGTACCAATTTGGAGCCAAGGATGTGGCAGCAAGGTTTGTGATAGACTAGACTGGCAATTTTGACCCAGACTTGGTACTGCCCCAATATTGTTTCCCGTTTTCTTAATTTTCTACTCATTAAACCTGCAAATCTGGTTTACTATATACTAAGTGGTGTTCAGCACCCATCTGACCTAGAATCCATGACTGCCTTACAATCAGGGGCTGTTTAATGTACACTGTAAATCATTGTATTACAATGAAGAAAATGAATACTATCAGAAATGAACCTGACTTAGTCTAAAAGAGCGCTGAAGTGCTAGTATCCTATGGTCCCTACAAGTACCTGGGTTAGTTTTAAACTGGATCCCTGTAGGCTCACTTGTATATGGGGGTCACGTCTTGTGCCAAATTGACATTAAGCCCTCCTGCTTCCAGTACTAATCCCACCCCTGGTCAATCACTTGACAAATGGTGGACATTCAGTGGGTAGTAGTGTCGGGCCTAGGATCCATGGGGCTCCACAGGGATAGAGTTGAAGGCCAACACAGGTTATAACCTTAAAAAAAACGTTACGTCAGGTTCTCTTCTGTATCTTTTTATGTACTTCTAGAGGAGGAATGTCAAATTATTAGACGGTACAAATTGAGCAATACAGCTGTCTGTCTGTAAAGATGGCCTCCTTATGCCTGAGCACGGCTAGGCTTGGCTGCCCTTTCTTATCACGTTCTGCTTGAGACTAAAGAGGGAACAGACATTATCCAGTATTTAGCATTGTGTTTCATGGTTAAAAACATTTACATTATGCGATTTGGCACACAAGTACAGTAACTGAAACTTTGGCTATGCTGGCTCACTCAAACCCAATTGTTATTTTATATAGTGCTGAATCGTAAATTTTGTTTTATGTGCCTTAAAATACCTTTTTCTGTTATTGAAAATGTGCTTCCTGCCCTCCCACCCTGGTACTCTATGCTGACAGAGCTGGGTACCAGTCACAACCCTTATCACAAGTGTCCTCATGCAGACTTGTACTCCATAATTTAACAAGCCTGGTCAGACATGCACTACGTGGGTAGCATGGTCACATGGTGGTGCCTACTGGACAGTGTATGCCAAGAAAGAGGCACCAAAATCAGAAGAGAAGTTGTCAGATGGGCAGGATTCTTTTATGAATTCTCCTTTGATATTGAAAAGTCAAGGACTCCTCTCCTAGCCTTTGGTATGCTTTCATGATGAGCAATACATGGTATATGCTTGAGAAGAAGATCTGTTTAGGGTCAGATAGTTTATAATTGACTAAATGTATAGCGATATTCATGCAAAGACCTGTTCAGTGTGCTGCCCTCATATCCCTGCAATGTACTGAATGAACATGTGCTAGATAACGTCTCTCCTCTGGATTTGGCTCAGCCCTAGTAACAGAGATGGTGACAATTGCAGGGAATGTCAGTGCATCCGGTCCGGCTCTGAAATGTGACCCCGATTCCCAGGAAGGTTCAGGAATTATATTTTTGGGGTATTAAGACTAGCAGACTATGGAGTGACAAGAGGGAAACAGCAAGCAAGCTTTGATCTTCTGCGTGACCTAATAAGAAGCTTTACAGTCATTTTAGACTAGTCATAGGCTGTAATCTACAATCAACAGATCCAAATGTAACTTGAATTTTCCCTACGTGAATTACAAATTCTACACTACTGCCCCTTATTACCCAGGTAGAGACTGAAAAGCACACCTATAGTAGGGATCATACGAGAACTGTTATGTCATCCAACATCACAGCTAGTAGGGAGTGACGGGTACTGCCCGGATGGGGAGATTACAATTTATACATAGACAATCCATTTAAAAGGTCTATTTCCATTGCGCTTTGTCTACAGTATGAGAAGTCTAACTGGAACTGCAAACAAAAAGCACATTTCTGCAGATTTATGTTCAATACCACAGGTTTCCTCTGTGTGTCTGTTGTTTATCTCAAAGCAGTAGTTGCTTTTTGCTACGTACATCCAGATTTTAAAGTATAGGTCAGATCAAAATAAATTAATCTCTGCAACAGATGCACAATTGCCCTATGTATTCTACAAGTGGAGAAAAATGCCTGTTGATCCACCATAAATCACACCATTCCTAATGAGCTTGACAAAGAGGTAACATCCTCGAAACACGTTGCTCCCGAGCTTCCACCCACTACCTTACCAACCTGATCCTTCCTCACCTTACCACCATCCCGGCCGATTCTCCATCCTGCATCACCACGGCACGGACACTGGCCCAGACACGTCCATCTCACAGCCCGAGTTCCTCCACCCGCAGCTGCAGCCCAGCCTGACGTCAGTCCTCACATCACTGGCACTTCACATTGCTTCAGCGGGGACACGGACACACTGTGTGCCATCACCTGCACCCCTGTCCACCCCTCTCTTCTCATTTTCCTGTGATGATCTACCCAAGGCAACACACTAGCCTTCACTGATTGCACTACGTTGGACCCCACGATTTCCGTCACTGTTCCACATCCATCTGGTTCCGAGACCCACTTAAAAAGTAAGTGATCCATCTCCTCTTGCTTCCCTCACTTTGTTTCAATCAGCTTCATGGTCCCTCCAGCCTTGCGCCCTCACGTTTGTTTTTTGGTTCCATAAATCAAGAAAGCTTCTAACTTCCTGGTTCAGCTAACACAATCCCAGAAAATCCCAAGTCATCCCCGCCCCCCTCCCCCCCAGCTCGGCTTCTAGAACCGTTTCCCTTCCAGGACTCAACTCTCTTCCTCAAAGAACTTTCTTTCCCTCCGTGCATGGAAGTCCCTTAGTGGTACTTGATCCCTCCCATTGTTCCTCCTCTCCTGAGGGACTTGCTGACCTACTAGATCTGGGACCAGTAATGGCCCGCCTCCAGGCTTCCCGATTGGCATGGATACCGGCTCACTGCTGAATTGGCCAGGAAGCCGTCTCCATGTTCCCTCACTACACTGTCGGTCAGAGGACATCTCCCTCTGACCAGAAGTTCCGGTATTGGGGAAAGTATTGAAGCATTTGGGAGAGTATAAGTACTTGCCCAAATACTCTATCGGCACCGATACTAGTATCGGTATAGGTGCATCCCTAGTAAGGATCCATTTAAACATCAGAATGCTGAAGCATTTTCAGTCTTCCAGCAACAAAGTTGACATGACAGTTTCACTTAATGGCCACACAGAGGTCCCTGAAAAACAACAAACTGATGGGTAATCAAGCCAACCAATATCTCCATACACAAAAGTGTTGGTTTTGGCTGGACAATCCAAACGAATGCGATTCTAAACTGCACATGTCAACTTTTTGTTTTGGTATACATAAGTAGGATGAGCCGCAATGCATTTCTGCAGTGAAAGATGCAATGTCACTCTAAACTTGAATCATGCTGACACAAACTTCAAGGAGCTCTCACACCCAGAAAACAACCAATGCAGCAAGATAAAACTGTGGTATAATGTTTACCTCCCTGGAGGCACAGAACCCTGTAAACAATGATACCCTCAGTTAATAACTGAATATCCAAATGAAATACAGATGGGATGACTAAATAGTGTGACATGCTGCTGTATTGGCTTCAGCTTCCTGGAAATAACATGTTTTAATACAATGAAAACTGTGAAAGGGCTCTACTTACCAGCAGAACTCCAGGCAAAACGAAACACCCTTTAAGCCAATTGTGTATTAGGCCAAGGCTGGACAAATCCCAGGAGCCGGGTAGCCAATGCTCCTTAAAAACCACAGCTGGCACCCAACGTTTGAGGTCTTCTCTAGTTGTTGTCATGGGGCTGGCTTCTAAAAAAAGGTCCCGCTGGCTCCTGGATTGGAAAGACGTGCTACTGAATTCCATATTACATTTGTCCACTACTGGTTTAGGCTTCCCTTAGGGATTGGCACCAGTGTATTGGGGATAAGGAGTAGTAGAACATTCTCTCAATTGTTAAAAAAAAAAAATGTACATTCTGAGGTCAATATAAAATAAACCTGTTCCACCTCCTCACACCCCCAGGACTAGAAGAACACAGGAACCCTTTTCAAGCACCAATGAACCCACAATAGTCCTGCACAGCTCTGAGTTCTTGGTCAAAGACTTATTAGATTCTGTGTCCAGGGTGCTGCCGTGTCGTGCAAGTAATCCAAATGCCCTCAAAAGTCTTGGCTAGCTCAACACTGAGCTTGCTTACACAATGGGAGAGCAAATAGCATCCTTTATCCTGGTCTAATCAGCATGCTGGGGTGGAGAGGTAACCAAGAAAGCAAATGTTGGCAGATGGGTGAGTATCATTACCACGAGTTTGGGGGAAGTGAGGATAGACTGCTAAACGGTGAACACGGATGATGCTGGTAGCTGTATAAAAAAAAGGTAGGTCAGACACATGAGGGTATAAAAAAGGTAAGGTCCTGAAATGATGGCTTTTGCCTGGAGTTCTGCTTTAATCCCACAAACACACTCTAGATCTATCACTGATTCTATTACACGGGTCCTCTACCATGGCGGTCACCTACACTAATAGCGATCACCTTACCTGGCAAACTACAGTCATAGGGCTCCAGCAGGCTCAGACAATCATACAGTTCCTCAATGGGCCATTGGGATGCGGTTAAGTGTAAGGGGGGGTACAGAGCAACAAAGCAGGGCTGTCAGACAAATAACAGGGGGTGCCAGCAAAATGGAAATGAAACAAAACATGTTTAGGCATAGCAAATCAATCTAACTCGATAGAGAGGGCGAAAAGGGATCAACATGTTGAGACACTTTAACATAAGTAGCACAGAACAAGTGGCAAAGATCCACCTCTCCCCAAACACACATTTTAAGAGTCTCACTTGAAGCAGAATCTTCTACGATGTGTGTATACATATAGACTGTTCTACCTCCCAAAATATGTGTCTCCACCTAGCCACTTTTGTAATATGCACACTCCTGCTACATTGCAGAGCCAGGTAGGTGACACCATCTTCTCTACTACAATAAAGGAACGAAGAGGTGTCACCTGGACAAGGAAGGACCAGCAGCACCCAGATATGTCTGTTCCCTATCCCTGTTCAATCCACTCCTGCATGTACACTGTGTGTTAGACTGAAAGCAATGTGCAATGGAAAAAAGAGCTCTACTGGCTGACACTACATGCCCTCCCTTTTTTAGTCTGGGTTCTGCTATGCAAGGACGTATAGGAAGATAATAGAAAGACATATTAGGTACCATGATTAGCTGTATTTAAAAAGACATTTATATTTAATGATTTTGCTAATACATAACCAGAATACAGAGTATACTTAGAGAACTATGAGGTGAGTGTTTTCACTCACCTCATAGTTCTAGCCGACCTGTGACAATGAGACCGTCACATGGTCGGCTCAGTAGAAGCGGGAGGTGAGCGAACACATAACGGCGTTCGCTCACCTCTCGATCCCGTCACGGCTCTCTGCTGTGACAGGGGAGGGGCTGGATTCCCCGCTCCCATCCTCCAGCACTTACTGGCGGAACGGACAGGGGAGGGTTCAGCTGACTCTGCCTCTAGATAGGCAGAGCCAGCTGTCACTCACGCAGCTGGGCGGATCCAGACAATTGTCGGGATCCGCTTCAGCTGCGGCGTCTCAGTATACCGCGAGCAGTAGCTCGCGGTATACTGTGGCGTCTCAGTATACCGCGAGCTGAACCTCACGGTATACTGAGCTTAGGGTGACAGGAGGACGCTAGTTTGTGTCCTCCCGTTACCTTAAGGAGAACTATGGGGAAAAGCCTTAACCCCATAGTTCTCCTTTAATGTCTGCCTAGAATCTAGAATAAAAGCTTTGACAAGGTGTCTGATGATTCCTGCTACCTGGCACACATGCGGGTACCATCCAGAGCTGGAAGATGCCATTGGCTAACTTAGAGGCCGTGCTTGTTCTGGAGCAGGCAGGTAGGATGCAACTCTAAAGCAGCGCCATTTCCTGAGGCCACCTCCAGCTCTGAAAGGACCCTTGTCCGTGACCGATAACAGCTGACCTGACAAGGAAGGTCCCATTGAAACCTAATAGGTTTCAGTTTTACAGGCCAGAGTTTAGCTTCATTGACTGCATGCAAAAGTAAACAACTGGGAGGACAGTTATCGATGCCCTAGCCACAAAATCTTAACTCACCATCTCCGTGTTGTAATGCAGATGGCAGCCGGATGACACCCTCCTGGCCATAGGCAGCATTGTCTATGGCAGACCCTCCAAGGTTGGCCTCGTGAGGGGACCTGTCAGCATGGTCCCCCACTGCGTTGTAGTCATGGTAGTGATCAGACATCCTGGAGCAAGGTCAACCTGTGACAAAGATATTCTTGTTAAATGTAGAGTCATATAATATCATCCATCACAGCCATCCAAGTTGTGGCGTACTACCAGCACAGTCAGCCAGGAGCCACTATGACCCTTTAAACAATATCCAGAATTGACATATATATTTCATTGCTTGACAGAAGCTGGCATCAGGAAAATCTCAAAAGATGCTAATGTGCTCTTATGAGCACGGTTCCTTTCCCCGCAGGGGAACGTCAATGATAAAGCGGCTGCCAAAAACCAGGAGTACAATGACTGTGCTAGGATAGACAGCGCAGACAGGAAGCATTTGCAGCGTCTGCAAAAACTAACACTGCCGTCAGGTTTATTAATGTGGACCATTAGGATTGATTGATAAGCTGCAGATGCGTCCCACAACTCTGATCAAAGCCAAAGAGTCCTGGAACTGACCTACTAAGAAGGCCATTCCTTCACAGGAGACCAATAACCTGGACCTCCTGGGAGGAATCAGGAACCCAGTTCGTCCAATCATACATGGATAATTTTACATGGAGACACATGCACATGGAAGAGTCACCTGTTGGAAGTGACTGTATGGGCTATGAGTTGCTGGAGTCATAATTTGTACAGGGCTAGGAGGTCTTTATGTCATATGGAGTGAGTCACATGCTTCTCCATACCTAGAAGGACCGGGAATTTCTGTAATTTCTCAGAAATGGAGTGAAGTGGTTAAGAAAGAAAA